AAAGAAAATTATTTGAAAATATGTTCCCGAATAGGTATGCCCCTATGGCCAAAGAAGAATTTTTCCTCAACTCAGAATTTGAATAGCTACTTGTCAGTCAATCAGCTACTCACGATCGTCTACATATATAACTATGGACGCGCCTTCGGCGCTCTGCGATCTAAGGCATCCGTTTTCGATGCTCACCCACTTGCGAGTTTTAACGCAATAATTCTTTATAGAGTATGTTCACTATATGGGGAGTTCCTTCATCATCTATTTAACTATATTTAGGCACAAGTACTTTTATGGAATCCCTTTTTCTAACTCTACCTAATGCTACATACAGTTGTCCATGACAAAATACATAATTGCGTAAATCCAGCCCAACGGTGTCCAATGTTTGTCCTTGTGATTTATTAATAGTGAGAGCATATGCCAACTTCAAAAGAAATTGTCTTCTCATCTTCTTATCTTATACTTTAATTTGAAGAAGTCAAAAGTGGTGGTGGTGCCTCACTTCATTGAATCCAAATGGTTTACCGCCTCATGATCTCAATCTTAAAGTCGGTGCCATTGTCATGCTTCGAAATTTTTTTTGTTGAAAACGGCCTTTGTAATGGTACTCGTTTGATTGTTCGAGATATGAAAGATAACGTCATCAAAGTCGAGATCATAACCGGTGCGTGGAGTGGAAACGCCCATTTACTGCCATGAGTGTCACTCAACACAGCGACCGATCCAAATTTTCCCTTCAACATGTGCCGCAGGCAATTCCCGATCCGTTTGGCTTACGGCATAACCATCAACAAAGCTCAGGGACAAACGTTTGACATAGCTGGTCTCTTGTTGCCAGAGCCCATTTTCTCTCACGGTCAGCTATATGTTGCGTGCTCTCGAGTCCGGTCTGCCGATCGCCAAAAAATCCAAGTTGTCGATGGGCAGAGACAAAGCTCGACCGATAATGGTGACAATGTCGTGTACAAGGAAGTGTTGTAGATTTCAACTTCCAATTTTCTTCATAAATCAGTTCTGCCATCAAATTTGAGTCATTGATTTCAATTATCAGTATTATATTTACCGTAATTTATTCGACTAATCTTGCAAATATTTCAGATTTTTTCTCATGGATTTCCAGAATGAACACTTTTTCACATTTGTCACTTTTCGGATTTTACATAGGATGAATCGTGAATGGAAAATACATTCGTGATTTACCATCGTGACCTCACCTCACAAATAATTTAAAAAATTACCTAGGCGGCAACACTTTTGAACTACTCGAGGTTAACTTGAAAATGTTTGGTATGAACCGAACTGCTTCATATCTTTGTAAGCATGTTTAAATCAGCACCTCCCATCAAATGCGGGGCAATTTTGACGAGGTGAGGTTGAATGCGAAGAAGAAATGTTGAAGGAGGTCCCACAGGACGGCGATGAGCCTGTTGTTGCTGGTAAAAAACGGCGGTAAACCCGTGGTATTTGCCTAAAGTCATTGGCCAAGATTATTACTTTACCACTGAAGGGAAGATTTGGTTTGTTGAGAAAGTCACGGAGTGTACGATCCAGTGTTTCAAAATTGTGCTTTTGAGACATTGGAGCTTCATCCCATATTATTACTGAGGCTGCTATTAAAAGTTGAGCTCGCTGACTATTGGCTGAGATGTTGCAGTATGCTTTTCGGTCCGTGGTTTCAAGAGGCAACTTTAAAATAGAGTGGGCGGTGACTCCTCCTCATGGTTGAGAGCAGCAATGCCTGTTGATGCGGTGCAGAGTACAATTGTATTCCTAACTCTAAGATAAGATGTAATCACTCGTAGTAATAAAGTCTTCCCAGTCCCACTTGGTCCATCAACGAATGTTATTTTTGGGCGTCCTTCAATTGGGCAATGCTATTAACTACGTAACTGAGTACGGCATTCAGATTTTCAGCGAGTTTCGGTAGTCATTCCTTAATATACAGTTCCATTTCCGAATGGGACCACCGTAATAATTCCCTTCCGACCTCAGTGGATGTATCTTGTGGTGCAGGTAAGCCAACATCCTCGCATGATTTGCCATGGTAGCGTAGCTTCATATCATTATCCAGTAATGTATCATTTTAAGCCTTGTCATGATTGTGAGGAATTCTGTCTATGTGATCATCGACCAGTGCAGCTTTGAATTCTTCCCACAATATCCTTGAAGGTGCCCCGACCAATACCATGCTTACAAATAATTGCCTAAACCCAGCACCTGTCTTAAAGCCTGCAGCTTCTATCAGAGCATCTCTGTATTCATCATCGTCATCTAAGAACCCCTTGCCTTGGCCGATTCCTGGAATGTTTGATATATTTTGCCTTCCACTGTTTTTAGATCTTCATAACTGTTCTCTGGTACTTTAGATAAGAGTACTCGTAAGTAGTAAAGTTCCACTAGCGATGGTGATACCCAGTGCATTCTAGCGACACACTCACCACGAACTCGTTTTGTCAGTCCGTGTTTACCTGATCGATGTACTATGGGTGGGACTGAACATCTGAGTGGTTCTTTGGTGTAGCGTCCTTCCATGGGGTAGGCCGAGCCCTGCGAAATTAGTTCCCCGGGCGTGTACACCCCCCTTCCGAAGTCTGCATTCCTCTGGAGTGAACTACGTAGCAATAACACACACTTCCGTTCAATGACTGAGGAAGGAACATATTCATGAGAATGGAATAAGCCTACACCTCCGTCTAGGGAGGCTAGGCAACAGACTCATAAGCTCATTTCTTCTGAGTTTCAGGGCGATAATTCCACTTCGACTGTAGGGAACTTCATCGTTAATTTTATATTCTGGCGAAAGGACTTTATGGAAGTCCCTTTTTCAAACTATTCAAAAGATTCCATACAGTTGTCTATGAAAAAAAGACGTCATTCTGTAAATGCAGCCCATAGTTATAATTTCCCGTTTCGTTGAAGTGTGAGCATAGGCCTAAGCGTCCTTAAGTGACATAGCCTCCTTGTATGGAAATGTCAATGGAACATTATGGAATAAAACAGCCCTTTCTTTTCTCTCCCGCTTCCCTGAATGAATACAATGTATGAGAGTGGTATTAGCCTAGGCATCCATCGATGGGTTGGGCCAAGGCATGCAAAATCAGTCCCACCCCAGCCCTCCCCCAAAACATGCCCCCTGGGCATGGATCCCGAAAGTTGAGCATTCAAAGTTAGGATGTCGACTCCAGAGAAAGTTTATCAGCTATTCACGTTCATTCCGTTTTGTTCAAGGGAAGGTGTGCAGGAGAATGGTTTAGGCCTAAGCGTCCGTCTGAGGGTTGGACCTAGGCTTACAAAGTGAGACTCCCTGGAATGAGCCCCCAGGGGACTTACCCCCAAAGTTGGGATTTTTCTGGAGTCAGCAATCTAACAGCTGCTTGTTTACCAAGTTTTAGCCTCTCATCATGTCTAGAACATAGAATTAGCGTCAGTCAGTCAGTCACGATCGTCTATATATATTAGGTAAAAGTAGATTTTTCCCACCCAACCAAAAGCTATGCCTGGAGGTGATGCACCAAGAAAGTTGAATACTCCCTCAACTCCATAACGTCATGTCACTTATATGTGTGCCAAGTTTCACCTTTCCATTTCTTTCCAATTCACCACGACCAACTTTTTTTTAGAAAAAATTCCCTAGAAAAAATTCTCCCAGGGGATGTATCCAGGCTCAACATTTTCCTTTAACTCCTTGTCTCAGTAGTCACATTCATGCAAAGAATGGAAGTAGGTTTTGAGAAGTATTGTTTATTCTGGAACTATGCGTGGCATTGGTGAACCCTTGTTAGGTTAAACCTCAAACCTCAATCATGGTGCTAGTGCAAACATCAATAGCGCCTATTGACGGGTGTCAATTTGCTCTGCGTCGCGTTTTCTGGTGCTTGGGATGATTGATGGGAAAAGTCGGCGTTGCGCCTCGCCTCATTCCGAGTTATTCATTTTCTCACTCGCTCTCTTTTATCCCTCCGCATCTTACCATTGAGAGTTATTGAAAATACAGGCGAAGAAATGGGGGAAAATGAATCATTTCAGTGGAAGAGAAGAGAGGAGAAACGAGTTTGTAAGGGAAACGAGGAAACGTCCAGGCTCAATTGCCCCCATAAAGATTCTATAATGGAGGTGCCTCCCCTATGACGTGAGGCGCTGCACCCTTCCGGGCGGGGCCGCCATCTTACTGAAGTCACACGTGCAAGGAGTTCATAGCAGACACATGGAGAGGGGGAGGGCAAAAGAGACAACTTTTCCGGAGCCATATGCCTGGGGGCCTCCACGCCGGGACCCAACCAATCACGCTATTCATTCCCACGTGCGAAACTTCACCAAGATGGCGAAAGCACTTGTAAGTCTCGAGGCAGCGAAGGCCTCTCCAGAGACATCTACATACACTCTATGGTTGCCCCACACTTTCTCGATTACTATCGCCACTACGTCGCCGACAGGAGTCCTTTCTGAGAATGGAGGTCGCTGTTCTGCCCTCTCTTTAGACGGTCCCAGTGTCGCATCCTTTGCGAAAACGCAACGCCCACGAAATGTGCAAAGTCTTGCGCGATGCGCGAAGGAAAAGTACAACACCTGCACCTCGCAGGCGCTTCGAATGAATTTCTCACTCTGCAGCAGACGAACGGAATAATGCACGACCGGCCGGAGAAATAAATGTCGATGACGCAGTTGCAAAGTAAATGTGTGCTTATTGCAATCGACTCAGGGATTATATGGTTTCCCGATTTTTAATTCTCATTTCCTGATCATGAATTTTTCTAGGATTGCGTGCGACGAATTTTACACAGCGATATTCTGAATCACATGCCGCAACGAGAAGTATTTAATTGCCCCGAACGGTATGAGGCAGAGCAACGGTAACGAATGTCCCGCAATCGTGGGAAATCGGAGAAATGTCCAATACAAGTTGAAATTGGTGGTGCATGAAATTGGTCGTGCATGGAATTGGTGATCGGAACTCCTTTTCTCGGTGGTCGACGCGATCATCAACTCAGTCGAATGGATCTTCAGCACATGGGAACATCGCAGAAATCCGTTACGGTATTATTTCCGTCCTCGATGAAGCACCAAGTGCCACCGCTCCTCGAATTCGGGTTCCGGCAGAAGTTGTGAGAAGGATACAAGTCGTCGTAGAAGGGGATGTATGAATGGTTGAAGGGGATGTATGAACGGTAGAAGGGGAAGAGGAAGACCCTCTCGTAGTTCTTGATCCACGCCAGGCACGGGTGCCCCGAGACCGTCACGTTCTGGGTTCCGATGTACTCCTCCCCGTTCGGTGTGGTTTTGCATTCCCGCGGTTCTTCAACGCAAAAAATTAACATCGGCACGAGTTAACATCGGCACCGAGATGCGAGATGAAAATCGACTTCCTCATTAAACTCTTAACGGTGTGGTGAAACGCGTTGCTGGATCATTCAACGGTCATCTATAAAGGCGAAGTGGTTAACCGAAAAGCGAATCCCCTCGGAAATTATCCACGTCCGTCGGTAGAAAACCCGGAATCCCATCCCTTACAAAAATGTCTATAGGAATCCTATAGGATCCTATATGCCCCATAGAGTTCCCAATAGAACCTATAGAGTTCCCAATAGAACCTATTGAGTCCCCTATTGAACCTATAGAGTTTCCTATAGAACCTATAGATCCCCCTATAGAACCTATAGGGTTCCCCATAGAACCAATAGGGTTCCCCATAAGGCCTATAGGTTCCCTATAGGACCCAAAGGGTTCTGTATAGGAACCGTAGGGTTCCCTATAAAACCTATAGGGTTCCCTATAGGACCTGTAGGGTTCGCTATAGGACCTATAGAATTCTATATAGGATCTATAGGGTTCCCTATAGGGCCTATAGGGTTCCCTATAGGGCCTATAGGGTTCCCTATAGGACCTATAGGACCTATAGGGTTCCCTACAGGGCTTATACGGAACCCTATAGGTCTATAGGGTTCCGTTTGAAGTTCTCCTCTAGGCCACTAGAAGGAAGTATGGGGTTCTCACATTTCTCAAAGGGCACAAAAGTTCCCTCCCCTTACCCAAGGAATCATCTCTCACAAGAGAGTTTTGTACGTCCCCAAATGTCTCGCCTTGCCTCATTGTAGCAATCAATAAACTTTGACAGTTCCTTATTTGTTATCCCCATCTTCCAGATATGATCATGGAGTCCCGTGAAGAAATATGCCCATATTCCTTTTGAAGACCACGTACAAAACTGAGTAGACTCTATCCAAACGGAGTTTCAGTAAAGAGACGTGCTCGCAGGTTCTGTCTTCTATTTCCTTAGGTCGAGAGAAGAATGCCACGTCTTCCTACGGAAGGAAGTAGATGTGCAATCCAGCGAGACATGTGGGGCCCCCATAAACCATGCAGACCCCCGCAATACTGGTATTAATAATGCATGTGTCCCTACCATGGAAAAACCCCTAATCGGTTTTTTATCTACACCGAAATGCTGCGCCAATATTAACCCCGGTCGCCTTTTCCGTCGTAATGCCTGGATTTCGAAACCCAAAATATCCTCCCTGAATCCTATAGGTCAGGAGACCTATAAGACCCTATAGGGATCCTATAGGATCCTATAGGTTTTTCGTGTTTCAAAAACCTATAGGAACGTCTGTAGGTTTCCTATAAGAAATATCTATAGGTTTCCAATAGGACATTTCCGTAAGGGATTTCTCGCGACCTGCTGCGCTGTCGCGAGCCGCAGCTGATTGCAGAGGCGCTCCTGCAATGGTTTACTGTCCCTTTTTTACCGCTATTTTTTTTTCTTGCAGAGGAACCAGTGCTACAAATTCACTTATTTCGGGTAGGAGCAGTGAGAAATTTAGTCTTGCGAAATCGAATTTAATACTCATTCTCTTCTTTGCCACAGAACTTCTCTCCCGGAATACATCCCAAGTCTCAGGTTCCCTCATTTCAAGGAAAATTTTTTCGACGGTTACCTGATGCCAAGGTGGATGCATTTCCTCTTCCTACCTCTCATTGCCCATCCATCACCCATTTTTCATCCACTACCCATGCACTTGTCGATCGAAATAATTTTTCACGCCAATCTTTCTTTTCTGCTTCAGGAAAACGATCAGATCTCGAGCGACACGGAATACCGACGCTTACCGACACACTCGCCGGAGACGCGAACTCTGCATTGCTCCCCTTCGCTGTTGGGGCAGAACGGCACGTCGCAGTACTGCAAAATCAATCCAGAGACAGAGAAGCACCACGGCCCGGTGGAAACACCGATATTACGACAAAAATTGTGAGGCCCGTCGAGGTCATCCGAGAACAGCGGCAAAAAATTCCATAAAGAGTGTCTCATGGGAACGACCTGGAGCCAGTGTTGACATTGTTTACCAGACAGCGTCACGTTCTGTTTTCCAACGTACTCATTTCCCGCTTCCGTCAGTTTGCATTCCGGCGCCTCTGAAGAAAAAAAGACAAACAATTTGAGGTGAGTACGAACGCGAAAGGGAAATAGCAGCGTACGATGGCAGCTGCGTGAAACATGAAGACAAAGACACTCTTTGCGAAAGAAATTAAAGGAAATTTCAGCAAAACCTTTCCTGGTGCTCATTTTGAAAATGCTGCTGAAGCTTATCACATGCCCATTGTCATTTAGTTCAAAAACATTTCACACTTAATTTTTTTTCATTTACTGGGGAAATCTGCGAGCTACAGATTCGATGCCGATCCCTATCATCGTGAAGCGCATTAGAATCTTGAGGAAATGTCGATCGGCTCGGCGCGAAGATTCACGGACGCCGCAGGCGAAGGGAGGGAAACCAACCTGCGTCGGTGCAGAAGGGAACGTCGCAGTATTCCCACTGTACGTTAGGGTCCGCGACGAAGCACCAGGGCCTCCGCCTATAAAGTCCCGGATTCCTGCAATGATTCTCGTGAAGCGAGGAATTTCTCCCGAAGAAATGCTCTTCGTAAGGAAATCTGTTGTCAAAGAAATCCCAAGGCATGCCATACGGCTGGGTGTCCCACCGGAGGCAAGGTTTCCCAGTTTCGGTCTCGTTCCTGGTTCCCACGTATTCCTTCCCCCTCTCTGACAGACGGCATTCGGGGTAGACCTCGCCCCCGGTTCCACCTAAGGATTCGATAGTCTCGATTTCATCTCCTATATGCAACATTCTAACAGCATGGAATCACAAATAGAGCGCTTCGGGACCGTACGTCCGGACCGTGTCTCGGCGTTTCCAGGCCATAAAAGACGAACCCGTCGACGGTTCCGCTCAACGGGGATCGTTTCATCGTAGCCGATAATTCATTAACTCACATTATGAAAATGCCTTATAGGATTCCCATAAACTCCTTTAGAAATACATAGGAATCCTATAGGTTCCCTATTCAGCCTATAAGGTGTCGTTTGAAGTTCTCCTCCAGGCCACTAGATGAAGGTATGGGGCACTCGCATTTCTGAAAATACACTAAAGTGCCCTCATCTTACCCATGGAATCATGTCTCTCAGAAGAGTTTAGTACATTCCCAAATGTCTCCCCTTACGAAAATGTCTTATAGGATTCCTATATATTCCTATAAGAATCCTATAGGAACCTATAGGAATCATATAGGTTCCTATATGCCCCATAGAGTTCAGTTTGGGACCTATAG